ATCTTGAATTCTTCCTTGTGCTTTGGCTTCTCTACGCTCCAGTGTAATCTTCAGAGTTTCTTCTGACATCCATTTTGGTCTTTTCTTCCTCTTCTGTCTTACGTAATATTTTTCAAAATTGTTGTTCCTGAGTGTATCATAGTATTCCATTGTGTGACTATAACACAATTTCTCAATCCGTTCAGTTGTGGTTGAACATTTGAGCAGTTTCCATGTTCTTGTGATGGTGAGTAGCACTATGAACATTGGTGTGCAAATCTCCATTCTTGAACTTTAATATTCTCATTTTTTAGAAAAGGTCGATAAGTACCACCTAGAAGACAGATTTGTTTGAGGGTTTTTTGCTCTGGAGGGTTACAGTGGTTGATTTCTTGGAAGTAAGTCACCAGACCTTCCAAAGTACCTCTGCGTGAACTTGAACTCCCAACCTTTTAATTAGTAGCCAAGTATTTACACCAACTAGGGACTCTTAAGGTGCACAATAGCTTTTCTCTATTTTATTCCAAAATAAACAGGCTGTGTTCAAAAAGTTTTTAACATTTCCTTTGTTTCTTTCAGTCAACAGGTTCTTGGGAGAAAAACAGGGACAGCATCTGTTTACAAAGTTACAATTAAAATAGATGAGAATGATGTCTCTAAGCCTTTACAGATTTTTCATGATCCTCCTTTGCCGGCTTCTGATTCCAAATTAGTAGAAAGAGCAATGAAGGTAAAAGATCTCAATATATTTTCACATTGGCTTAATTAAGTTATTAACATAGGTTAACATTTATACATAAACTGTTACAACAAATTCATTAAAATAGCTGATTGTTCCTGAAATTCTGTTTTTACTTTAAAAACTTGTTTGAAGTACGTGGAATGCTTTCGATGGGTTTGTCTTGTTTTGTTTTTAAAAAAATCTGATACTATAACAATTTTTTAATAAAGTCTTTTAAATTTTTGTACTTAGATCTAACCACCATTATTTGTTATAAGGGCTAACATTTGATTACTGTGACAATTCATCAGTATTCCTCAGAATGTTAATTATAGGCTTAGGTTATCAGTACCATTTAAGTTTATTTTTACCTTTATCTTCATTTGCTTTCTTTTACTGGTTAACATTTAACAGTGTGATTCTAATAGTAACTTCAAGCTATATAAATCTCCTAAGAGGAGATTTTAAAATGGAAAGTATTAAATTGCACCTGTGATTCTGTTCTTGTTGATGCAGATTGATCACTTATCAGTAGAAAAACTCCTGATTGACAGCGTCCATGCAAGGTGTCATCAGAAGCTCCAGGAACTGAAGACCATTCTTAGAGGCTTCAATGCCAATGAAAACTGTAGGTTTTTAAAGTGGGCATTTTCAGAATTTGTTTATTTTAGTATCTACTTTCATAATAGATTTTTGGTTGGGTTTTTTAAAAATTTTAATTAAAGTTTATAGAGACTTAGGGTTTCCATTCATTCATTCATTGTTGCACTTTTCTCCATGCCCAGCCCCTCCCCCTGTTCACTCTTCTTTAAAAGAAAAAGAAAAACTTTCATTGTTATGCAATCCCTCCCTCCAACTCCACTCCACTGTGCAGCCTTCACTCTGGACTTCTGTAATGACAAGAATACCCATTCATATGTCCCTTTTAATCAGTTCTCTCCCTCATCAGTTTCAATGCAATATACATCATTCCTCCCCTCCTTTTCTGTCTTCCCTCAACCCTGATGTCAGTCCCATTTTACAACAGTGGTCCTATGCAATATTTGTCCTTTTGTGACTGGGATATTTCACTCAGTATAATGTCCTCCAGGGTCATCCATTTTGCATAATATTTCATGAGTTCCTTGTTTTTCAATGCTGCAACCCAAGTGCCCATCAACAAATGAATGGATAGGGAAGCTCTAATATATTCACACAATGGAAAAAGTTTTTTTTAATATGTTTTTCTCAGTATATAAGTAATTCCTTTAACCTGTGATCAGTTTTCTCTCCCTTATTGTTCATTTTAGCCTCATTTTTGCAACACTGGTATACTGATTATCTTTGAAACTTTCCCCATCTTGAAATGGAAGCTGTTTTAAAACATGAATCTTCACTCTCTTAATTTTTCCTCTAAAGTTAGAACAATTTTGAAAAAAATATATATGATGTATTTATAAAATATGCTTGAGTGAAGTAGAATTCATCTATATCTTTTAAAAACATTTCTTTTGAATTGATAATCTGTTAACATGATTCAAATTAAAAAAAATACTGATGTATGTCTTTTTTCCACTCCCACAACCACTTCTGTTAGGTTTCTTTCAGGATTTTGTTAGCACATCTGCATGAATATAGGAGTGTGGGGGCGTGTGCATAGGTATGAATGTATATGGATATAGTCTCAAACCTGCCCTTCCCTTTGTTTTTAACTTAGATTGATCTGTGAAACTTTTTAAAGCAATCAGAATGGAATAATGGAGTCAGGAGACTAATTTCTTGATACGGTTTTTTTAATCCTTTCTTAACTAATTTCATGAGTTGGTTTTTTAGTTGGGCTTTCTACTTTGAACCAAAATAGTTATTTTTAAACCTGCATATATATTTTTTTGTCTTAAATTTAATTACATAGTAAGTACATTTAGAGCTGAAGTTGGGGGATTAATAATTTAGTATGTAAACACTTTGATTCTAGAAATAACAGTTTCACAGCATTGTAATGAGCCTATTTACTATGCCCACTCAATTGTTTTAGACTGTCATTACCCTGGGCCTAAAGCAAACAGTCTTTATTGTGTGGTTTAAAATGTTAATGGTGCTGATATTAAAAGTTTATTGCCTTTCCTCATCACAGAAACCTAGCTCAACTCTATACTTGGGAAAGGCAGCTTAGCAAAAAGTAAAGCTATGGGCATAAAATAAATAAATGAAAGTTAGACTATAAATTTGCTGAACTTGTATAAATTCTAATCACTGATCTTTTTGATTTGTAATCCAGGACCTTACAATATATAGAAAAAATATGTAAAAAATTAAAGAAATAATGTAAAATTTTTTTTTAGGGAGTTCTGGTGGCCTAGTGGCAAGAAGCTGTGCTGCAATCCCAAAGGCATGCAGTTCGAATCCACCAGATGCTCCACTGGAGAAGGAGGAGCAATCTCCTCCTGTGCCAGTCGGATCCAATTCGACGGTACACAGCAACAACCCTCCCCCCCAAAAAAGTGAAATTTTTTAAAAATCTATTGTGATTTTCATTAAAGTTTACAAAGTAAATTAATTTTTCATTCCACAATTAATACACATCTTGTTTTATAATATTTGTTGCAATTCTATCAGTGTAAAAGCATTCTTCCCACTACTTCCCAGGGTTCCCAGTTTACATTTGTCCTTCTTTCCTGGTCTTCTGATTTTTGTTTGGGACAGCCCTTGCCCCCTTTTAGTTGATTATTTTGAGCAGTAGCCCTTCTTGAGTGTTGCTTCACAGGCCTGTTGTTTGGCTGCAAGGTGATCCCTGGGGATGCATTTAGTTCCAAGTTTGGAGTGTCTAAGGTCTATTGGGAGCTCTGATAACCTATTAGGCAAGGAGTTACACTGCTGACCCAAAGGCTTATGGTTCAAACCCACCAGTTTCTCACCAGAAGAAGGGTGATCAGTGTCATCCCCTGTAGTTTAGAACCTCTGAAAACCAGGATCTGTAAGCTCCTGGGTTCCACTAGTCTCTATCAGATCAATAAGTCTGATCTTTTTATGATTTTTACTTGTGTTCTACATTTTCCTCCCATTTTATCCAGGATCTTTTGAACTATATTCTCTCTATTCTTTGCTGCTGTATTTAAAAAAAAATTTTTTTAATTAATTTTAATGAAAGTTTTAGAGACTTTGGGTTTTCAGTCATTCATTGTTGCACTTTTCTCCTTCCCCCTTCCCCCCCAATTCACTCTTCTCCTTGAAAAGAAAAAGTCTTTCATTGTGCTGCTGTATCTTATAAAGAATCTTCTATATTGTAATTAGATTGATATTAGAGCTGTTATTCCAATTATCAGAACTCATTTTACTTTATTGCTAAACGTTAGAAATTTTTGTTTGCTTTAAAGACTGTCTCTGTAAGCACTTTATTTTAGTGGAATAATAAGATCAACAAAACATCAGTACTTTGAGCTAATGTATCATATTCAGTAATGATAAAATATTGTAGAAGTTATTACTGTTTATACCTTTCTGCTCTGTTTTTTCAGGTGAGCGTTCTACTGGACTTGTATGTTAAACATTTATATACAAATATATATTAGATATACTTGAAAGCAATTTACTTTTATCTGATAAAATATGTCCCTTGCATTCTTTTGCTTTATTAATTTGTTTGATAAATATTTTTTTATAGGGTGTATGGAAGGTAACGTCATTTTCATTATTGTTAATTATAAATTTTTTATTTGATTCATAAAACACTGAAGATATGTACATTTATTGAGTACTTTTAAAAATTGTGATAAAAATAATCTAACAAAATAGTTACCATTTAGATGTTGTTTTGCATATACAATTCATTAACATTATCTATCATTATCAGGGAGCTCTCTGATGACTTAACAATAAGGAGTGGTGCAGCCAACCCAAAGGCATCCAGTTCGAATCCACCAGCTGCTCCTTGGGAGAAAAATAGGCAGTCTCTTCCTCTGTGATTTACAGCCTCTGAAAACCCACTGGAGGGTTATGTATTAGTGAGTTGTGACTCAAAAGTCCATAGCAACAACAGTTACAATTATGTTGTGCCAAAACTACTTTCCATTTCCAGAATTTTAGATCACTCTTAATGAAAAACTCCACTTCCTCTAAGCAATGATTTCCTCCTCCTTTCTCCCTTTTTCTGAAAATTCCTAATAGACTTTGGTCTGTAGATATTTGCCAAATTTTAGATATTTCATAGAGAGCTCTGGTAAGGAGTTGCATTGCCAGCTCAAAGGCTGGCAGTTTAAATGTGCCAGCCACTCTGCAGGAGGAAGATGAGCAGTCTTCTTCATGTGATTTGTTGCCTCTGAAAACCTTCTGGAAGGTTGGCTCTGACGAGTTGTTCTGACTGATGGCATATATTGCAACAAGAGATGTTTCATACAAATGGGATCATCATTATTTGCCCTTTTGTGATTATCAGTGCTTTATTTTTAAAACACCTTCACAAACTTGTCTTTTCTTTTTCTTAATGGCCTGTTGTGAGGATGCAAACAAAACTCCACTGCCATTAAATTTATATTCCAACTCATAGTGACTGTGTTCCACTGCCTTCAAGTCGAGTCTGAATCATAACAACCCTCCACTGGGTTTACAAGGCTTTAAATCTTTAAGGGAGGAAACCGCCTAGCTTTCTCCTTCAGAGCAGCTAGTGAATTCGAACCTCACAGCACTACACTTCCAGGGATTCTTGGTAAAACTGTCCTATAGGGCTTCCAAGACTGTAAATCTTTATGGAAATAGAGCGCCACATCTTTTTCCCATGGGCTATGTGGACAAGATGTTATTGTGATTTTTTGACAGTCAAAGTAGCACAGGGATAATACATCTGATGAGAGTGCCTATATGCCTCCATTGCCACTCTCTTGTCCTTGCTGTTCTTCTGTGCTGTAGCTTTAGACGAGCTTGGTAACTAGAGGGCATATTCCTTTTTTCAACCCTTCAACATGATCAATATCTAGAGTACTTTCAGTGCTTTGCTCATTTACTCATTTTTGTTATACCAATTTATGGGATTAAGGGAAAAGTTAATTGGGCCTGGTGGAAATGCTATGAAACTCTCCAACAAGTATATTGGCAGCTTTGGGGATATGTGTTTAGCAATTGCCTGCGTCCCTATGTCACCTGTGACATGAAAATTAAGTATACAACCGACTTGGGGAAACTATGTTTATTTTTTCCTATTTATTATATAATGTTTTCAAATTTTGGTAATTTCACTCCCACATACACACACACAAAGGCAAAAACCGCTGCTGCCAATCACTGAGGTAGCAACTCATAGTGAATCCATAGGGCAGAGTAGACTTCCCTTAAGGGTTTCTAAGGCTGTAAATACTTGCAGAAGCAGACTGCCACATCTTTTCCCGTTGAGCTGCTGGGGGTTTTGAACCACCAATTTTTTGTTAGCACGTTAACTGCTGTGTTACCAGGGCTCCTTTTAAAACTACATGGACCCTACTGGCAAAATAAACCAAAAAACACAAACAAACTTTTCTCATTTCTTTTTTTTTTAAAAAATAAAGAATGACATTGGAAAATTTTAGGCTATAGATGAAATATATTTCATTTATCAGAGAACTAATTTTCTTCTTACTGTATAAAAAAGAAAATCTTTACAAATTAAACTTCCAAGTGGAAATAAAACAAACTCAATGAAGATGGGTATGTTTGTTTCAAGCCAACTTGAAAATGACACTTTTCCTTCTGAAGTACTAACTTAATCCAAATGTTGCTAAATCATGTGTTTCTTCTAACATTTGGAATTGTTACATAGTTGCTTCATTTCTGTTTATTAATAAATCATGTTCTTAGAAATGTTCAGATAGGAAGGTAATTTAATTCTTTACTGTTCAGCTTCCATAGAGACTGCAATTCCAGCTCTTGTTGTTCCCATTTTGGAGCCCTGCAGTAGTTCAGAATGTCTACATATTTTTGTAGATTTGCATTCTGGAATGTTCCAGTTGATGCTGTATGGACTTGGTAAGATACTAAATAATATAGTCACTCATCATATGAAAAATGAAAGTTGCAGAGGATAAAATAAGTTTTTCTGCCGCTAAGTATTAGAAGCAATGCTAGTAAGCAGGACAGAGTAGATTTGGATTAGATAACTCTGGCTCATGTCTGTTCTGCTTTAGCTATATTATTTTAGACTTATGTATCAGAAATTAAATTTCCCAATATGAAATGCATGCTGTTATTTCTTTAATATTAGAATAATAATGTTGATGGGTAATAGTATGTAGATCTCTAAGTATATATGTGATGAAAATTACACAGAATAAGGTCAACTTGATGGTACCTGCCAACAACCAACAGTGTTCAGAGGTCACTTTCTCTTACCACATATAGTTGAGTAATAGTGAAATGTTTATAATCATTTATATAATGTCGTCCATGGCTGTAGAACATTTTTTGTGATAATATAAACATGGAAGATGACTTGGGATACAGAGTTTTAGAGGAAAGGAATTTTTTTTCTGGCCAGTGATGAATGATTTCTCAGTAGAGACAGGAAATAGAATAGACATTAAAGTTTGATTTCTTACTCGGTCTGTTACTAAGTTCTGAAATAATAAAACACTCTAGAAACTTAGTGGTTTTATATTACTAATAGAATAATGTTGTTGTTTTTATGTGCCGTTGAGTCACTTGCGACTCATAGTGACCCTATGTACAAGAGCCCTAAACCCTGCTCTGTCCTGTGCCAACCTCGCTATCTCCGACACACCTACCCCCATTACCCCAGTCACTGAATCGATCCATCTCATTGAGGGTCTTCCTCTCTTGTGCTGTCCATCTACCCTCCCAAACATGACATCCCATCTCCAAGGCAGTACTGGTCCCTCCTTACAACATGCCCAACGTATATCAGACGAAACTTCAGAATCCTTGCCTCCAAGGAGCAGCCTGGTCTCACCCTTTCCAGGATGAATCTGTTTGTTCTCCTAGCAGTCCATGGTATATTCAACACTCTTCTCCAGCACCACAGCTCAAAGTCATCAATTTTCTTTCTATACTGAAAAGATTAGCATATTTAAAATTAATATTAATTTTAGACAGAGTGACTAAAATAAAAAAGATTTTCTGGTTATATCTTTATATGCCTGTAAAGATTGATTTCTTTTATTATGAGCTTCTTATGAAAAAATGTATTCTTTTTTCTGAATCATGTCACATGTATGATGGCTAAGTGACCCCCGCCCCATGACAAATTTGTGAATTGTCTTTGAACTGTATTTCCAGAGCAACAAGGCAATTGTTTATTTTTTAAAGCTTTTAACTTATCTGTTTTCTTGGTTATCCACCAACATACTACATCACTCATTCACTCACTCCCTGCCATCAAATTAATTTCAGCTCATAGTGATCTTCCATCATTTTTGGGTGTCCTCAAAACCTCGTTAATCTTCCTCTGACAGCTCTTGCTTGTGCCTTAGGCCATGTGTGTTTACCAAATAAAGATTTTATGAGGTTTTGTATTTTTTATGTATTAATATGTGAAGTCCACTAATGCTATGCATTTTTAAAATGCTTATAACAATTAAACTGAGTAGGGCCTGAGGCACTTGCTGCAGAAGGTCAAGGACTGCAGCCTTCAATATGCATTGTGGAGCAATATCAAGAAGACAAAGATTCTCACCACTAGGTCAGTTGGCAGCATTAGAATGGATGGTGAAGAGATTGAGATTGTTAACAGCTTCAATTTGCTTGGCTCCACAGTCAACACTCTTGCCCAGCAGCCAGGAAATTAAAAGACGTATTGTGATGGGAAAGTCTGCTGTTAGGGACCTCTCCAAAGTACTGAAGAGCAATGAGCAGTAATGTCACTCTGGAGACTAAGATGCCCCGATACAGTCCGTGGTCTTTGCAATCACTTGCTATGCGTCAGAGAGCTAGACAATGACTAGGGAGGAGAGGAGAATTGATGCCTTTGAGCTGTGGTGTTGGAGAAGAGTATATACCATGGACTGCTAAGAAAATGAACAGGTTCATCCTGGAGAAGGTTAACCAGGCTGCTTCTTAGAGGCAAGGATTCTGAAGCTTCATCTGGCATACTTTGGACATGTTGCAAGGAGAGACCAGTCCTTGGGGAAGGATGTCATGCTTGGGCGGGTGGAGGGACAGCACAGCAGGGGAAGACCCTCTATGAGGTGGATTGGTTCAGGGACTGGGGTAATGGGGGTAGATATGTCAGAGACAGTGAGATTGGCACAGGATAGAGAAGAGTTTAGGGCTGTTGTACTTAGGGTCGCTATGAGTTGCAGGCAACTTGACGGCACATAACAATTAAAAAAATTAATTAGACTAATAATTTTGTGAATTAAAATATAACCAAAGAGTTCATGTATTGATCACATGTTCTTCTTGCCAGTGTACTTTTGCTGTTTATTAGTGCGTCAACTGCATTTATCCCACTAAATGTTAAAGGGGGAAAACAAATCAAGTTGATTTATATCTACTTATGCATTTAGTTTAGCTTTTTTCTGATTCAAAATAACACTATTTCCTGCCTTTAAAACAAATTCATGTCTTAGAACTCTTAGAAAAAGGATTTTATGTTTTCTTTAAACAAGTAAAGAAATTTTTTGTTCCATAGACCAGTCTACTTTAGATGACATGGAGAAGTCTGTGAATGATGATATGAAACGGATCGTTCCATGGATTCAACAACTGAAGTAAGCTAATTTATTTATTTATTTCTTGATGTATTTGCTTCTTATCTTGATTAGTTGCGGTCTTTAAGATTTATGACATGAACCTTAAATGCCTTTCATACCTTAGCATATAAAAATCTTTTTTAATTGGTCCAAGTTGGCAGTAGCTTTTATCACATACTCCTAGAACAACTAGAGGCATGTAGGCTATGACGCTCAGTGTTTTAGTATTATGTTTTGGCCCACGTTGGCTAAACAAGCAAGGTTTAAATAGTTAATATACTTAATAATTTGTGTTTTGAGATTGTTATCTGAGAGTCCCAGCTAGCAGAAATATAAGCTTAAAACAAAGCTAAGCCCCAGAAAGCTTTAGCTTATCTAATATGTATCTGTTCTTAAACTCTATTTATTAAAAAAAAAGACCACTTGATTGCGACTTTATAGCAGTGTTTCACAAATGATCTGTGAGTGACTAGTTTATTCTAAAACTATATGGGACATTAATTTTTGTTATTCAGGGTTAACTTGTTATACATTTCATCCATTTTTAGCCTATAGTTTCATTGAATTAAATCTCTGTGTCCAAAGACAAGCTCTGTTGACTTAGTGATAATGTGTTGAGCTTCCAGCCCAAAGGCACATTGTTCAAAATCTGTCAGCTGCTCAACGGGAGAAAGATGTACAGTCTTAAACCCTTTGAAACCCCCTGGAGGGTCACTTCTAAGTTGGTTCTGGCTCAACAGTACATAACACCATCAACAATATGTGACCAGAATCCATTTTTACAATATTTAGAACATTCTCATTACCCCCAAAGATGCCCATTTACAATTAATTCTCAGTTAGTAATTCTCTTTAGTAATCTACTTTCCATGTCTAAAGATTTGCTTTTTTCTGAACATTTCATATGAGATCCTAAAATACATGGTCTTTTTCTGTTTTACTACTTTTACTCAGCAAAGTGTTTTTCGGTTTCATCCACATTACTATGTATCAGTTTTCTGTTTCTTTTTATTGCTGAGTAAAATTCTGCCTCTGTTTGTTTATTCATCAACTGACATTTGGATTGATTTTCTCTTTTTGGTTGTTATAAACAGAGCTATTATGAGCATTCTTCTGTGAGTTTATGTGTGAACTTTAGTTTTAATTTTTCCTTCTTGGTCATATACTAAATTTGTTACACATTTTTAAAGAAACTGTAGCTTATTTTCTAAACTGTGCCATTTTACAATCCCATCAGCAGTATGTAACAATTTCCTTTTCTCTGCATTCCTGATTATAACTGCCCTGCTGCTAATTGTTTTGTACTATTGAGTTAGAATCGACCCATAGTTAAACCTATGGTGGGTTTTCAGAGGCAGTTGGTTGATGGATTTGAACTGTGTGCCTTCAGGATTGCAGTGCAGTTTCTTACCAGTAAGTCACCAGAGCTCCCTATAACTGTCCTGTTGTTGTTGTTGTGTACCTTCAAGCCAGAACCGACCCATAGTTGACCCTCCCGTGGGTTTTCAGAGGCAGTTAATCATGTGGGAGGAGATTGTCCATCCTTCTTTTGCAGAGCACCTGGTGGATCCAAACTGTATGCTTTCATGATGGCAGTGAAGCTTCTTGTCAGTAGGCTACCAGAACTCTGGTGGCTCAGTAGACAAGTGTTTGATTGTCAGCCCGTAGGCCAGCAGCCCAACTCTATCAGCAGAGTGATGGGGGGAAATACTTAGTGATCTGCTGCCATAAAATTTACAGCTTAATAAACCCTATGGATCAGTGCCACTCTGTCATGTCATGTAGGATCTTAGTGACTCAGAAGTCAGTTCAGCAGCACACAGCCGTTGCACAGTGGGTATGGAGAGGTATCCATTTTCTTTTTTTTTCTATAATTATATTTTATTAATTTTCATAAACATTTACAGAGATTTTGGGCTTCCACTCATTCATTGTTGCACTATTCTCTCTACCCTCCTCCCAGTTTGTTCTTGTCCAAATGCCACAGTGCTTGTCAAAGCCAGTTCTGATTAATCTTCTTTGTCAGTGTGTCCTTTGCCATTCCCTATCACTCCTCCCTGAGAGAGACTTCACCCTGAGTCATAAGGAAAAGGGGATGGCGTATTCTCTTAGCTACTTCCTGCTGAAAAGGGACGCTGTGGGTTTCAGGGTGAAGATCTTCTCTCACTACTCTAAAGGGCCCCTTTGGCAGTAGGAAACACATAGACTATTATGGAGATTGATTTTGGAATTTAGATGCACTCTTCTTGATTGTGCTTGGCCGTACATGTTCATATCCTTGAAGATGTATCATGGGGGTGTTGCAACCTAGAAGACACAAATTTGACTAACAAGTTATAAGTACATGAGTCCAAAAATTTCTTAATGACGTTGATCATCTTTTCATGTGATTAATTTTTGATAGTAGGCCATAAAACAAATTCTAGGGGAAAACAAACATGTAGTATGTAAGTCCCAATTTGTTCATTACTATTACTAGAATTAATAGACAAAATTATACCTTGGTATAATCAGAATAAGTGTTGTTGTTGTTATGTGCCGTCGAGTCGCCTGCGACTCATAGCGACCCTATGTACAACAGCCCTAAACTCCGCTCTGTCCTGTGCCAATCGCACTGTCTTCATTGAGAATATTGTTGTTGTTGTTGTTGCTATGTGCCGTCGAGTTGTTTGCCACTCATAGGAACCCTATGTCCAGCAGCCCTAGACCCTACTCTATCCTGTGCCAATTGCACTGCCTCTGACACACCCATCCTGATTACCCCAGTCACTGAATCAATCCATCTCATAGAGGGTCTTCCTCTCTTGCACCATCCCTCCACCCTCCCAAGCACGATGTCCCTCTCCAAGAACCTGTCCCTCCTTGCAACATGCCCAGAGTATGTCAGACGAAGCCCCAGAATCCTTGCCTCCAAGGAGTAGCCTGGTTTAATCCTCTCCAGGATGAATCTGTTTTCTTGGCAGTCCATGGTACACTCAATACTCTTTTCCAGCACCACAGCTCAAAGGCATCAATTCTCCTTCTGTCCTCCGTAGTCATTGTCCAACTCTCTGATGCATAACAAGTGATTGCAAAGACCATGGCCTGTATCAGGCGCACCTTAGTCTCCAGAGAGACACCGTTGCTCTTGAGTACTTTAGAGAGGTCATTAACAGCAGACTTTCCCATTGCGATACGCTTTTTGATTTCCTGACTGCTGGTGCCAAGAGTGTTGACTGTGGAGCCGAGCAAACCGAAGCTGTGAACAATCTCAATCTCTTCGTCATCCATCCTGATGCTACCAATTTGTCCAGTGGTGAGAATCTTTGTCTTCTTGACATTGAGCCTCAGTCCATACTGAAGGCTGCAGTCCTTGACCCTCTGCAGCAAGTGCATGAGGTCCTTGGTTTCAGCATGCAGGGTTGTGTCATCTGCATAATGCAGATTGTTAATAGATCTTCCACCAATCCTGATGCCACACTTCTCATAGAGCCCAGCCTCCCAGATAATCTGCTCTGCTTACAGGTTGAAAAGGTATGGAGATAGGACACATCCCTGGTGCACACCCTTCCCAGTTTTGAACCATGCAGTGTTACCCTGCTCTGTTCTGACTGCTGCCTCTTGGTCTAAGTATAGGTTTCGCATTAGCATGATTAAATGTTCTGGGATTCCCATTCTTCTCAGAGTCAGCCACAGTTTGTTATGATCCACACAGTCAAACACCTTTGCATAGAATATGTAGATAATTAATAGTTAACAAAAAGTTGGTCTTATATTTCTTAGTCTACAGCATCATAAAACAAAGCCAAAAGTCAAGAAGAGGTAGTAATTCCACATAGGCTTTGAAAAGAATATCTTATATATCAATATTTAAAAATTTTTTTGTGACAGATGAGCGTGCTTCTTTCTTGTTATAATTTGGCCAGTCTAGATGGGAGTGATGTTGATGCTAATTAGGAAATTTTACACATTATGCACACATACAGTTTGAAATGTGTATCTTGACTGTTTCCATGTTTTTCTTTTAATAATATGCATAGTAGATAATGATTTCTTAGTATGTTGATGTGACTGGAGATAGTAATTTTAATGCAATTTTAGAAACACTAGAATATTTTAAAATATTAAACAAATTGAAGCAAGTGATAGTATATTTTAAAATTTTATCTTTATTCTTTTATCAGTAGTAGCCAGATCCAACAATTTATAAAGATCATGGTTTGATTTGGTTTTCAATGAGGAAAAAAAGTATTTCCAGATCTTATATACTTTTGAGTAATAATTGGCAAATTACCATTAAAATGTTGTATATTATAGTATTATTTTAATACACATAACTAGTACACAGTTTGCACAACATGGGACTTCCCTACTCCAATCTAGTTTTCAGCTGAACTTGATCATGAACTTGGATATTGTGGTATTATTTTGTTGTGAAATGTTTCCATATCCATGTTCTTGTTTTCTGTGGTTACCTCATTGTGGATCTGTGAGAGTCTATAAACCAGTCACTTCATCTCTTTTTTACATATTACATAGTTTGGTGGCCTCAAGCATAGACAATTAGGTAAAGAGAATGAGAAGAGGAAGTACCAAAATTAAAAGCATCAGCGTGAAATCTGGCCACTTAAAGAATGGAGGGGGAGAAGGTAATGAATACTTCTGACACTTCTGAGGTATACCATAGGCATTGTACACATACCCAGTATAAAACTGCAGCAAGTGTGATGCATGGATTCAATTTATTATAGGAACAGGCAGAATATATGTTATCACTGAGAACATTTCTTAGCAGTAAAGTATAATGCTAGGTATCAGACTTTACCTAGTATTTTCTGATAAACATTTCAACAAGATAGTAATATATTTTCATTAGAGTTAGAAACTGCACAGTTGTAGGAGAATTAGTATTTAGGAAATATAAATATATTGATACCAGAAAATGGAGATGGTGAAACCTAGTTTCTCCTTGGAGGCTAGGATATTGAAGCTCTGTCTCACATACTTTGGGCTTGTGGCCAGAAGGGATCAAGTCCTTGGAGAAGGATGCCATGCTTAGAAGGGTGGAGGGACAGCACAGGAGAGGAATACTCTGGATGAGATGAATTGATACAGTAACTGTGGCAATAGGGATAAGTGTGTTGGAGTCAGACTGGCTTAGGACAGGGCAGGCTTCAGAACTATTGTACATAGGGTAGTTATGAGTTGCAGGCGACTCATAACAACAACAAGAAAATGAGTTACTTCTATACTTTGTTTATTGTTGTTAATCTTGATTTATAAACACTTCAGGCACTTTATAAAGAATGCAGAGATTGGTTTGTGCTGTCTTTAAGCCATAGGAAATCTAATGTTTCCTATAATAATTTGATAGCATATCTCAGCCTTATTGTTATTCAGTTCTTCTTATTAGTAGTCACACTACAATTTAAATGTCTTATATGTAACAACAACTAACAGTTTTACTACAGAACTACGGAGAAATGATTCATTATTATGGTCTTAATAGTTGCTGTTAAGTCAGTTTCAAGTCATGGTGACTCCATGTCTGGAGAGTAGACTGCTCCTTAGAGTTCTCAGATTCCCAGGCCTGTGATCTCAGGTGTCTCTGGGTGTGTTCAAACTGCCAACCTTTTGGACAGTAGTTGATTGCTTTACCATAGGGTCACCCAGGGAGCCTTTCACTAATTCATTTAAATGTTAATTGGTCTTTTAGAAGCTATTTCTAAATCTTATTAGTATCTTTTTAACAATTTTTTTCCGTTAATACTTTTTTTTAGTATACAATTAATCTTTAAAGTGTGATTTTTATTTTGTAAATTTTCTCTTTTAAATTAAGGTTTTGGCTTGGACAACAACGTTGCAAACAATCTATAAAACACCTGCCTACAATATGCAGTGAAACATTGCAGCTTTCCAATTACTCAGCTAATCCTATTGGAAACCTTTCTAAGAATAAGCTGTTTATTAAACTTACCCGTCTTCCACAATACTACATTGTAAGTATGCAGTGGGATGATTTGGGCTATCAAGTGCAGTAATTCTATTATATCCTGAACAATTTATTGTTTAGCTTACAAATGCCTTTTATTGAATATTTTGCTCTCATGGAGTAATTCTCTATCCAGGATTAGGGATGGAGGAGAGCGATATTCACATTATCATACAGGTTTGGGAACTGTAAAATACACCTCTATTCCATGCCCTATGATTTTTCCTATTGTTGGGCCTGGTTTCCCACTTGAATGAGGCATCTCCTCTATAGGAATAAAAAAATTAAAAGTAACTACCGTGAAGATTTGATGTCAGATAAACTTGTTTAGTTTTATTTGAATCCTAACATGGATAATACCATCTTTTAAATATGGTTTGGCTGAAGTAGAACTTTATTTTCTCCTCCTTGTCTGATTTAAAGCAGATTCCATTTTATTGATTTCATTGTGTACTTTTTAAAAAAAATTTTTATTATTAATTTCAATGAAAATTTACAGAGACTTTGGATTTCCATTCATTCATTGTTGTACTTTCTCCCTGCCCCCCCCACCCCAGTACACTCTTCTCTTTGAAAAGTAAAAGAAAAATTCTTTCATTGTTTTACAGTCCCTCCCCCCTAGGTCCACTCCATTATGCAACCTTCGTTCTGGACTCCTGTCATGACAAAAATACCTAATCACATGTCCCTTTTAAACAGTTTTCTCCCTCATCTGTTTCAATGCTGTATACATTATTTATCCCATCTTTCTCAGTTTCCCCCCAAACCTGATGTCAGTCCTGTTTTACAACAGTGGCACTATACAGTATTTGTCCTTTTGTGACTGAGATACTTCACTCAGCATAGTGTCCTCCAGGATCACCTATTTTGAATAATATTGCATGAGTTCCTTGTTTTTCAGTGCAGCATAGCATTCCATTGTGTGAATATACCACAGCTTCTCTATCCATTCATTTGTTGATATTGTTTCCAACTCCTTGCTATTGTGAACAAAGCCTCGATAAGCATGGGTGTGCATATATCTGGTTGGGTGGCAGTTATGGTCTCTTTAGGGTATATTCCCAGCAGTGGGATTGTTAGGTCAGATGGTATTTCTGTTTGCAACTTTTTGAGAAAGTGCCACACTGCCTTCCACAATGGTTGTACCATTTTACACTCCCACCAACAGTGAAAAAGGCTTCCAGTTTCTCTACAATCTTGCCAGCATTTGTTGCTTGCTCTTCTATTAAATTTTGCTATTCTTACAATATCTCATAGCTTTTTTGATTTGCATCTCTCTTAGAGCTAGGGATTTTGAACATTTCTTCATGTGCTTTTTGGCCATCTGAATGTCTTCTTTGGTGAAGTGTCTGTTCATATCCTGTGCCCATTTTTCAATTGGATTATTTACCTTTATCTTATTGTGGTGCTCAAATATTTTATAAATTTTAGATATAAGTCCTTTATCTGACATGTCATTACCAAAACCTTTTTCCCAGTCTGTGGCTTCTCTTTTTTACCTTGTTGGAGAAGTTTTTGTATGTGCATAGGGATTTGATTCTTAGAAGGCCCCATTCATCTATTTATCTTCTCCTGGTTGTAGATCATTGTGTACTTTTTAAAACACAATATGATCCTTTCTCTTATCTTTCTTTTTCCAGTTCATTTCTTTGAGATCTTTCAGTTGATAAAAGTGGTAGAAATTTGAAGTATAAACTTGACCTAATTATATTTTCCTGCTTATGGAAAATTCTGTGTGTACCAAGTAGATATTTTTGGCTAAAAACCAACAGTGTTTGAAAATTTTAGTTCTGGATTATTAAGAGTGAAGTTTTTAAAGCTTTGAACTATACTTTTAAAAGCTGCTATTTTAGGATGATACCCCTTATATCCTGACATAAATTAGGTTACCTGTGTAGATGTGAATTTCAAAACACGATTTGGCACTTGTGAAATGATATATAGGATGCATGTATAATAACCAAAGATCTGTGGGTATGCAAAGATCACATCTATTCAATTTTATGCAAATGAAAAAAGTTGTTATAATTTATTACTTTCTAATATTAATTGTTGTTGTTTTGTGACATTGAGTTGAAACTGACAGCTATGAAGCTGATCGTCAAGAGTATTTCAGAGGCTGTAAATCACATGGGAGGAGATTGTCCATCTTTCTCTTTTGGAGCAGCTGATGAATTTAAACTATATGTCTTTGGGTTGGCAGCACAGCTCCTTATCCACTAGGATGCCAGAATTAGAATCAACAAAAGCCAGGCTTTAGTTTTGATAGCCAGTGATTGGCACAGCTTAAAAAAAAAGAAATGTATATTACTCCTCATCCTCTTGATTTCTCATTTAGGGGTGGGTACATTGAAAGAAATGAAAAACATTATTGCCATTGTCATTTAAAAGTAGATCTTCCTTTAAATTTTGGGACATCTTGACCATTTTACTCTTTTTTTAAAAAATCACCTTTATTGAAATATAATTTACATATAGTAAAAACCCAGCCATTTTTGGTACATTCTTTTAGATGAGCACTTCATTTGTGTAATTTCCATCTGTCATTTACCCACCCCCTCAAGTTCCCTCATTCTATCCTTCTATAATCAAACTCTCTCCCCACCTTCAACTGATAGCTTGTTTTCTCTTTCTTTAGTTTGCCCTTTTCCAGAATGTCATATAAATGGAATTGTGCAGTATGTAGCCTTTGAGTCTGGCTTCTTTCACTTAGCTTGATAAAATGAACTTAAAGATTCATCCATATTGGTTTATGTAAAAAAGAATGTTCATTTCTTTTTATTGCTGAGGAGTATTCCATTGTATGAATGTATCCCAGTTTATCCATTTACCCATTGAAGGGCATCCAGATTGTTACCAGCTTGGAACAATTATTAACAAAATTGCCATAATCATATGCATACAGAATTTCATATGAATGTAACTTTTCATTTCTTTTGAGATAAGAACTTGGAGTGGGTTTGTTGTATCATCTGGTAGGTTTAACTTTCTAAGACGCCATCCAAGTGTTTTCCAAAGTAGCGGTACCATTTTATATTCCTAGCACTTAGTATTCTCAGGTTATTTTCACTTTTTATGTTAGCCATTCTGATAGGGTGTCTAGCAGAGTCTTGCTGTGTTCTGAATTTGCACTGCTCTAATGATGAATGATGTTTTTGTGTGTTTATCCTCCATCTGTATATATTCTTTGGCAAAGTGTTCATTTTATTTTTGATTCTTTAGTTTTTCAGGTGCATCATTGTGATGCTTAGGTGTTGGACAAACAATTTCAAGTGTGGTGGATGGGAGGAAAGAGAGACAGGGAGAGGAAAGAATGTGTTAGTCAAGAGCCGTTTATTATCCCATTTATGTCTGTCACTAAACTATGAAGGGGACATTTGTTATGTTTTGGCTAGACTTTGAAGATAGTAGTAAGCTGTTATATATAGTAGGTAAGAATATGGTCTCTGGAACCAAACTTCTGTGACCTTGGGCAAATAACCTTAGTTTCTTCAGTAAAATGAATATAAATGATACCTACTTCACAGGATTAGTAGGATAAAATGTTTTAATTCATGTATTTAGGACAATGCTCGGCATTATTATTCTTACAGGGACCACAGTTTTCAATGGGTAAAAATCGGGATTGGTTTTTGTATTTTCCAAATATGAAAAATAATGGTCATTTTTCTCTGCCATGAAATTTTTTAAGGACTTACTAGTGGTTAATGAGAACAGCAAGGCAGTTTAAAACTTGAGAAAATCTATACTTAATGGACTTAGGTATAAACTATTTTCCGTTTACAAGCTAAAATATTAATATTTGTAATATCTGATGCTAATAATTTAAAGTGCTCCATTTCCCCTAGGTTTTGGTTGCTTTAAGAAGCATAGAGTGCTGTGGTTATGTACTCCACTACTAACCAAAAGGCCAGCAGTTAAAACACAGTAACTGTTCCATGGGAACAGAACCTGGTGATCTGCTCTTTAAAGATTATACAGTAAAGTGTAGAATGATTAATGGAAGTCAGAATTACAGGAAGGATGTGGGAAAAATGTGACTAGTACATTGAAGCTGTTGAAATTAATTTTATAGAACAAAATGTATATGAATGGTTAAATGAAAAAGAATTTGCAAGCTTTCATTCAAATCACAATTTAAAAGTTTTTTTTTAAAAAAAGAAAAGGATTACAGCCTAGGAAACCTTATGGGGCATTTCCCTCTCTCACTTACTGCTCTTGAGCTTGTTTGACTCCACTGCCATTGCAGAGCTGAATAGGTCTTGTAAAATACTATGAGGCTGTAAATCTCAATGGGAGGAGATGGCCCATCTTCTCCTGTGGAGCCACTGGTGTATTTGAACGACCAGAGACATGTGGTCAGCAGCACCACAGGCTGTGGACTCTGCCATTAGGAATTTCTACTCGTATCATTTTAGGGTTGCTTGTGAGTTGAACCCCATTTAATGCCCCAAACAATAACAACATAGTTGTCTTTGCTTTTATATTCAGCATATATTTATATTTCCTCTGAGTTTCTCTGATTTGGACCTTTTTAGGTTGTGGAGATGTTAGAGGTTCCTAATAAACCCACACAGCTGGCATACAAGTACTACTTCCTGTCTGTGAACAGTACAGATCGTGATGACAGCCCTGCCAAAGCACTCGTGCTCCAGCAGTTCAAGGAAAACATCCAGGATGTTGTTGCACGTACAAAAGCTGGAAAACACCTGAGAACTGGTGCCAAGCGTAAGGTACGTTCACATATAGAAATGATCACAGAATTTATGTTCATTAAATTAACTTTCTTGGCTTCATTAGCAGTTTTCAATATTGGCAATAATTAGAGTTTGTAAAAGACTGGGCAACAATAAGGCTTACATAACAAAATTGTCTTCATTTTCTTTAATATGTTTCTCTTTTTATATAATTAGAATAGAACCTGTTAAACACACAGTAAAAAGAAAAACCCACTGCTGTCAAGCTGATACTTACTCATGGTGACCCTGCATTGGGTTTCCAAGGCTGTAAATCTTTATGGAAAGAGATTACGTATCTTTCTCCTTCTAAGTGGCTAGACTAGTGGATTCGCACCACCAACCTTTTTCTTCTTGGTGAGAAAAATCTATTTTTAGAATTAGCCAGCTGGACTCAGTTTAGATGATCCCAATTTTGTTGGCAACACCCAAGGCATCACAGTCAGGAGCAGTTTGAACATAGGGCTTCTTCTCTCCATCAGGCTTAATCAGAGTGCTGACTTTAGCCTCATCACTGTCGTAGAGCTTCTTTACAGCTTGTTTAATTTGGTGCTTGTTGGCCTTTACATCCACAATGAACACAAGTGTGTTGCTATCTTCTATCTTTTTCATGGCTGACTCAGTGGTCAGGGGAAGCTTGATGATGGCATAGTGGTCAAGCTTGTTTCTCCTGGGGGTGCTCTTCCGGGGGTATTTGGGCTGCCTTTGGAGTCTCAGCATCTTAGGCCGCCGGAAGGTGGGTGACGTATGGAGCTTCTCTTTTTGTGGCTGTGGATGCCCTTCAAGACTGCCTTCTTGGCCATTAATGTCTTTGCTTTGGCTTCAGTTTTGGGAGGGGCAGGGGCTTCCTTCTTCACTTTCAGCATCATCTTTATAGAAAGATTACCAACCTTTTTGTTATCTGCCTAACACATAACACACTACTGCTGAATTACCAGTGGTTAGCCCAGTGTTGACTCAGTAAGTAGTTTATTGAATTAATACTACTTTTGTTTGGTTGACCCTGAACATTGTTAACCACAGTTTAACTGCCTTAAGTAAATGTAACTTTTTAAAAACTCACTTTTGTTCATTGCTTAAATCCTAGTTGTCTGGTGATCCATGTCCAGTAGAACCCAAGAAAACCAAACGATCAGGAGAAGTGTGTGCCTTCAATAAAGTTCTAGCTCACTTTGTTGCTATGTGTGATACAAATATGCCATTTGTTGGACTTCGGTTGGAGGTAACTGTTTTTTAAAAGCATTTTGAGTATTCTACATGAGAGTGGTTTTTCAAATACATTGCTAAAGCTACATGGATTTTCATTAAGAGAACAAGAATTGTAATCCTTTACCATGGCTTAAAATTATTTCGTCTGTATGAATTAAGATTCTGGGCCTTTTGTTCTTTATGGGAATGGAAACAAAATTCTCCCAATTAAAAAATACAAAAGCTTCTCAGAATTAATATCTGATTTGTATACTTTTTATAGGAGTATTAGTTAAACCTTTAGATATTATTAGCTATGCTTCCTATCTACTTGATTTGGTCCCTAGACTTTTTCCCATTATGTCATTTAGATTGCTTAAATAAATGTTACTAGTTGTGCAGTGAAAAGAGAAGATACATAGTATCTAAGTTTCTGAGGTGATAAATCCTTGTGGGAGGAAACTGCCTCTTTTACTGTCACAGAGTGGTGGATTCAAGCTTTCAGTAGTGCCTAGGGTCAGTGGAATGCATTTGTTTCCTGTCTCCCTGCATTTTCACTCACTCTTTACCAGTCATAGGCTAGAATTCCCAAAATTGTACATCTTTTTAGTACTCATATAGACTGCATGTTTGTCCCCTCTGCCTTGCTTCTCTGTATTCCTGTATCTGTTTCTCAAATAGAGCACTTAAGAGCATTCCATGGTCCTCTGTTTAACTCAGTCAAGCTCTTAAAAACATAACTACTTCTTTCAGTAAAAATTTTAGCTGTTATAGACAAAAGCAAACACAGTTTCTGTTTAAAATAATTTGTACTGAGATGTAACTAGTCTTTCCAGAGATATTTCTTTCATTCATAGAGTCACTCACTCAAAATCACTTCTGGCAAGTCACTTCTGACTTACCAGGTTTCCCAGGTGGTGAATCTGAATGGAAGGATCCTACTCATCTTTTTCCTGCAGAGCTGTTGGTGTATGGTGTATTTGTACTGCCAGCGTTGTATGGTGTTTTGGTTACCAGGAGAGTACACTATGGACTATGCCCCCAGCATTTCTCAATTCATAGAATGTTGTTACATTCCAATGACTTGGGGCTGACCCTCCAGCAGGTTTTCAGAGACAGTACTATCACATAGGAGTAGATCAACCATATTTCTGCCATGGAGCAACTGGCAAATTTGAACTGCCTGCATTTGGATTAGCAGTACAACTCCTTGCCCATCAGAGCTCCCTGTTCATATAGTAGGAACATTTTAAAGCTCTCTCACACTGTTTTTGAGCTTGGGCCTAAGTAGGCTGCTGACTTGTTTGGTCAGCAGCTATTTTGCTAAACTTCTGCCCTTTTCAGGTTAATAGAGCAAAATCATTCACGTAGCTATCTTCTAATTCTGGAACAAAGAAGTTATAAATAATCTGTTATGGAATATCTGGAAACAATTAGTGAAGGCAAGCACTTTTCATTGGTCGGGCAAGTGGATTTCTGCCATACCCTAGTAACCTGGAGTTGTGTGAACAATGAAGTTGTGTGGACAGTGTTTTAGGCACTATCCTTGCATTAATCTTTTTATGTCATTTTCAGAACTGGGTAAATGCATAATGCATGCACTGGAAAGCTTTTTTTTTTTTCTTAGATTTCACACAGAAAATAATTTTATTTGTTAAAAATAGAAATATATTTCAGAGTTGTTATGAACTAGAATATGCTGTTATAATTAGAAATGAGATACAACTATGATTCAAAATTATGGTAAACAGGCATAATGGTTTAAAAGCTATACCCATAAAGTAATATTCTTTATAACTTCTCCATTTGGAAATAAAAAAGCCTTGTTAGCATAGTGGTCAATGGATTTGACTACTAGTCAAAAGGTTTGAACCCACCAGCTCTTCCATGGGATAAAGATGAGACAGTCTGCTTCCCTAAAGATTCACAACCTTGAATACTGTATGGGCAGTGCTACTCTATCTTATAAGATTACTGTAAGTTGAGATCTACTCAGTGGCAATCCTTTTGTTTGGGCTTTTTGGCTTGTTTGTTTTATTTTCATTTGGATGACCAATCATTCAAATTTTGAAGCTTTGCCATCTGTGGATGTGGTGGGTTTTTTGTTTGTTTGTTTTCTTTTCACAAGGAGAGAGTAGGGTCGAGGGCAGTTTTGAGCTTCAATGCAATGGATTTACTTTCTTGGGAAAATAAAGGATGAGGATACAGTTTATACCTAATGCATATACTTTGGAGAAGAACAGCTAGCATGAGAACCAATGTCTTATCACTGCCATTGTGTCAGTTCTGATTCATAGCAACACTTCATTGAGTGTCTGAGACTGTAAATTACAAGAGGAAGGGAATGCCCAACTTTCTTCTGGGAAGCAAGTGGTGTATTTGAACCACCAGAGACACGCAACCTTTGGATTAGTAGCATAACTCATTAAGGACTATACTGACAGAACTCTATAAATTCTGAGAATAGAGACAATAATACTTAAAAAGGGTAGCTTCTTTTATAAAATTTATGATCTAATATAAATATGTATTCCTCTTTCCAGTTGTCCAATTTGGAGATCCCACATCAAGGAGTACAAATGGAAGGTGATGGCTTCAGTCATGTAATCCGCTTATTAAAGTAAGCACCTATCATCTGTCTCATTTGATGGTATACCTTATAGTCACACTGCCCGAGGGCTGCCTCTCTCCTTCCATGAGGCAGCATAAAGTAAAGTTCAGAACCTGTGGATATCCTGGACTTACACATAGAATTACTAAAGTCTGGACAGGATTCTGTTTAGCCTGTGGAGATCCACTTATCTGAGGATGGCTTTCCCCCCCTGTATTTCTCTCAGTCCACTGTGTGTCAAGGTAAAATTCTGTTAGGGCCTTTTCAGATGCTGTGGGTTCATAAAGCAATGGGACTTGCCCTTTCAGAAATCCTGAAGAGTTCCCTGAAGGAGAGATCAAGAGTTAACCAGAGGAACGTAGGGTTAGGGTAGAAGTGTGAGGCCATGGCATGAAGGGATACTACTGCATCTGAGCAAACTGGTTTCCTGAAATGAAAAGAAGTTTAGCATGGTAGGAGGTAGGAGAGATGTAATAAGAAAAGGATTTTGCAGGATTTAAGTGCTCTTATGGAATTTGGTATTTTTCTTAAAAACAGTAAAAAGTCATGAGATGATTTTAAGCAGGAATTTGACATTGAATTTATGTTTTTGAAAGCTCATTCAAATAGTAATATGGAGAATGAATTAGAACAAGACAAGAGTAAAGTAGTGAAACCAGTTGCCAAAATGTTTCATGGTGGTGATGTTTGTAGGTTGGATGAGGGTGATGTTCCATAAGAACTTGGACAATGACACATTCAAAGGTTGGTGAATTAATGTTGAGGTGAGCAGAAGGGAATGTGACAAAGGTGACTCTTAGTTTTTCATTCTTTTTAATTATTATTTTATTATTTTTTGTTTGTGTACTGTCAGATCAGATCTGGAAGAGATTGCCCCACCTTCTCCAGCAGAACCTTTGGTGGATTTGAACTGCATACCTCTGGGATTATAGTGCAGCTTCTTACCACTAGGCCACCAGAGCTCCCTAGACTCTTAGCTTTAATCTTGGGCAGATGGTTGAATATTGGTAGTATTTTCCAACACAGAAGATGATGTGACTTTGAAGGGGCTTTGGTAAATTGAGGCTGTAGGGATGTGTTTCAAGTTCAGATAACAGTTTTAGATAAAGGCATCACTATGGTGATGGTAATTGAGCTAGGGTAGTAGATTAGATAAGAGGAAAGTTTTTACAAAAGCAGATGGAGAGCTTGGTTCTAAATGGTTAGAGGACAAGGATCCTAAGGGTATTTAAAAGTAATACTAATGCAGTGCATGTGGTTTTTAAAGTGATCCCAGTGTGAACTATTGCAAAGCTAGAGAGCTATTTGTTTTCCTTTTTTGTATGTTTTATTAGATGTTGCTTATAAAGTTGTATAAACAAATTTTATTTGTTGAATTCCACTATCTGCTAAGAGGAAGCACCTCTGCAACTTGAGCAGAGGGTTTTAACTTGTGTTATTTGGGAATTAGTTTGTTTTTCTTGAGGATGGGAAGGATAAGTTCTGACTCCCTGCTGAGGAGCTAGGAGGAAGTGTTTGTGTATGCACACATACATGCATGTATATATGGACATGTACACATGTTCTTGAGGCTTGTATGCCCTTGTACTTGCTTTAGATAAAGAATTAGTACTAAAGGTTCCCCTTCTTGACTGGCTAATCTTAACACCAGACCTACAAAAAGTCTTCAGGGTGAACGAGCCGATTGCATAATGGGAATTGGTGGGAAAATCAGTGTTCCGTTTCTTGTACTCAAGAGAACATATGAATAGTACTGTATAAGAGAAAGCACTTTCTTTTACTTAGCTTAACTGTACAGCAATTTTTTTTTCTTTTTTTATTAATTTTAATGAAACTTTACAGAGACTTAGGGTTTCCAGTCCTTCATTGTTGCACTTTTCTCCCTGCCCACCCCCTCCACCCCCAATACACTCTTCTCCTTGAAAAGGAAAACTCTTTCATTGTTATGCGTCCCTCCTCTCAAGTCCACTCCACTGTGCAGCCTTCATTCTGGACTCCTATCATGACAATAATACCCAATCATATGTCCCTTTAAACAGTTCTCTCCCTCATCTGTTCAGTGCAGTATATATTATTCCTCCCCTCCTTCTCTCTCTTCTCTCAACCCTGATGTCAGTCCCATTTTACAACAGTGGACCGATGCAATATTTGTCCTTTTTGTGACTGAGATATTTCACTCAGCATAATGTCCTCCAGGGCCATCCATTTTGAATACTATTTCATGAGTTCCCTGTTTTTCAATGCTGCATAGTATTCCATTGTGTAAATATACCAGAGCTTCTCTATCCATTCATTTGTTGATGGGCACTTAGGTTGTTTCCAACTCTTTGCTATTGTGAACAAAGCCACAATAAACACGAGTTTACATATATCTGCTTGGATGTCAGTTATGGTTTCTTTAGAGTAAATTCCCAGTAGTGGAATTGCTAGGTCAAATTGTATTTCTATTTCCAACTCTTTGAGAAAGCGCCATACAGCCTTCCATAGTGGTTGCACCACTTTACACTTCCACCAACAGTGAATAAGGGTTCCATTTTCTCCACAGCCTTGCCAGCATTTGTTGTTGACTGTTCTGTTAAATTTTGCTATTCTTACTGGGGTGACATGATATCTCCTTGAGATGGTATCTCATAGTTGTTTTGATTTGCATCTCTCTCAAAGCTAAGGATTTTGAACATTTTGGCTGGTGTCAGTTTAGGTAGGTTGTAAATTTCTAAATATTTGTCCATTTCCTCTAGATTTTCTTATTTGTTTGAATATAATTTTTCATAATATTCCAGTGTTAGCCTTTTTATTTTAGTTAATTCTGTTGTGACATTGCTCATTTCATCTCTTATTCTGATTGTGTCTTTTCCTTCTTTTTCTTTGTTAGTTTTGTTAATGGTTTGTCCATTTTGTTTACCTTTTCAAAGAACCAACTCCTAATTTTGTTAAGGGTTTCAATTGTTTTTTGGTTTTCTATTTCATTTCTTTCTGCTTTAATTTTTATAATTTCAGGTTTTTTAGAGGATGTCAGGTTTTCTTGCTGTTCTTTTTAAGTTTGTTGGAGATGTTGAGTTAGAGAATCAATGGTCATTTTTTTCCCTGCCTTTTGATATGTTTGCTTATTGCTATAAATTGACCCCTGATTACTGCTTTGGCTGTTTCCAGAGGTTTTGGTAAGTGGTCTTTTCATTGTCATTTGTTTCAAGAAACTTTCATTTCATTTTTTATTTCTTCTAGTACCTACTCATGTTCAAGCAGAGTGTTGTTCAGCTTCCAAATATATGGGGTTTTTTTCTCCTTTATTGTCTTGTTATTATTTTCCAATTTTATAGCATTGTGGTCTGAGAAAATGCTTTGTATTAGTTCTGTGTTTTTTAATTTATTGATGCTTGCCTCATAACCTAAAATGTGATCTATTCTGGAGAATGTTCCATGCACATTGGAGAAGAAGGTATATTGTGTTTTGGGGGGGGGGTGCATTAGCCTAAAAATATCTATGAGGTCGAGTCTGTTTATTGTGTGGTTTAATTCTTGAGCATCTTTGTTGAGTTTTTTTCTGGTAGTTCTGTCTTTTCTTGAGAGAGGAGTGTATTGAAGTCTCCAACTACTATAGTAGTGTTCTCAATTTCTTTTTTCAGTTTTCTTAAATGTTTGTTTTATATATTTTGCAGGTCTTTCTTTTGGTGCATAGATATTTATTATTGTTATGTCCTCTTGTTCTTTTGACCCCTTAAGCATTATATAGTGACCTTCCTTGTCCTTTGTGATTGTTTTTGCAGTGAAATTTATTTTATCTGTGATTAATATCGTTACTCTTGCATTTTTCTGGTTGCCATTTGCTTGGTATATTTTTTTCCCATCTTTTTTTTTTTTTTTTTTTTTTTTCTTTCTTTATCTTCATTTATCAGGTGTGTCACTTATAGACAGTTTATTGATGGATTTTGGGTATTTATCCAATCTGCAACTCTTCTTCTCTTCAGTGGTGCATCCAAACCGTTCACATTCATTGTGATTATTGAATGGCAGGGTTTTATTGTGATCTTTTTGTTGAGTTCTTTTTTGTTGTTGCTAGTTACTTTGGTCCATGCTGCTTTCTGTGGTACCTCTGTAAGAAGGACATTTCTCAGTGTTTCCTGCAATGCCGGTCTTGTTTTTACAAACTCCTTTTCGTTCTGTTTTTCTGGGAATATCTTGATCTGTCCTTCATATTTGATGGATAATTTTTCTGGGTACAGTATTCTTGGTTGACAATTGTGTTCTTTGAGTGTTTAATATATGTCCTGCCACTCTCTTCTTGATCACATGGTTTCTGCTGAGAATTCGGCACCTAATCTTATCTGCTCTCCCTTATAAGTTACTCTTTGTTTCTCCCTCACTGCTTTCAGGATTCTCTCCTTATCTTTGGTTCTGGCAAATTTAACTATGATATGCCTTGGTGTTTTTCTTTTGGGGTCTATTTTATATGGTGTTTGCTTAGCTTCCTGAATATATATTCTCTCATTCTTCATTATGCCTGGAAATTTTCCACAACTTTTTCAGTGCCTTTACTTGCTTCTTCCTGTTCTGAGATTCCAGTGATGCACATGTTATTTCTCTTGATGGTGTCCTACATTATTCTTAGGTTTTTTCTTTTTCCTTCCCTTTTGATTCTGCTTTTTACTTTAGCATATCAGTGGTGACAATTCTATCTTCTATTTCACTAGTTCTGTGTTCCTTCTCTTCAACTCTGCTCATGTGTCCCTCCATCATGTTGACAGCATCTGAAATATTGGATGTCATATTTTAGTTCGTGGTTTCTTGTTTTTCAGTGCTGTTAATGTCTTGCTTGTTTTATCTGCATTGCTCTGGATTGTTTGGGGTGGGGGGTTGGCTCCTGCTGGTTTTTGTTTGTAGGATCCTGTAATTCTTCAAGTTTGTCTTTCATCCATTGAAAATATTCAACCATTTCTCTTTTAAATTCTGTGTCAGAAAGTTCCATTGGACTTTCTGGCTTTAGGAAATCCATTGATATTGTGTCACTTTCTGGGGATGGCATCTTACTTTGCACTTGTGTATTGTGTGGGATAGCTTGCTTTCTTCAAGATGTTGATAGGTTCTTGATCTGAAGACAGTGCTCTAGAAGTCAGTTGGGCTGCTACCGCACTTGTGTTTTTCTCTGAACTTATGACTCAAGGGAAAGTTCAGTCCAGAGCCTCTGAGAGCAGCTTCTTGTAGGTAAGTCAGATCAAGGTGCTCCGGATTAAAGGCAAGTTGATGGACTGGATGTGTGGGCACCAGTGTGGAGCCGAATAGGGATGGGGCAGGCATACGGGGTGGGGCGACCACAGGGGCTGGTCAACCAGTTACAGGACCTCACTGAGACCTCACCTGTCCAAGTGTGCTCACAATTGGGGTAGGGACTCAAATTTCAGCTGTCTGTCTCCCACTCAGTGGCTCTCACTCAGCGATCTTTGCCCAGCATCCCATACCCAGGTGCCCTTGCTCAGTGACCCCTGTCCCAGCAGGGCCCTGGGTCTAGCAGGACACAAAAAGACTCAGTCAAATTCCCACCAACTGACCCACTCACCTCTGGTCCATTTGCAGTGTCCACAAAAGTTCAGTCAAATTCCCTCCAGCCTGCTCACTCTTGGGCATTCTCCCAGGCAGTTGAAGGTGCCCATGAAAACTCAGATAAATTCCCACAGACCCACCTGTTCCTGGGCAGTCAGCATGGCCCAAAAGAACTCATCCAAATTCCCACCAATGGGCTCACTTTTGGGTGCTCTCCCAAGCATTCAGTGCCCAAGAAAACCCAGTCAAAAATTCCTACCAGCCCGCCCAATTGTGATCATTCAGCAAGAGCACAAGAAAACTCAGTGACATTCCAACAGACCCACTTGCTCTTAGTGAGGCTTAAGAGAACTCAGTTACTTTTCTGCTAACCTTCTTTCTCCTGGGGATGGGTCCCATAGCAGCTTGCCTGGAGGCTTCCAGCTATGGCTGGGCCTGCAGCATGGCTCTATATTCCTGTAGCTCTGAAGCGAATTGTTCCAACAAAAGTTCTGAGTCAGATTCCTACTTTGAAAGTTACACCTTGTTGATAGGTCTCTCTGAGGCTTGAAGGTCTCTCTAGTGGTTCGTCTCTATACACCTTGCTGTTCCTCTACTCTTCACACTGCACTCTCCACAGCCGCCATCTTGTAATCCCCCTCCTCAATCTCAGCAATTTTTTTAAAAAAATTTTATTTCATTTCTTTTTTTTATTTTAAATTGATTTCAATGAAAGCTTACAGAGACTTTGGATTTCCATTCATTCATTGTTGCACTTTTCTCCCTGCCCACCCTTCACCCCAATTTACTTTTCTCTTTGAAAAATAAAAGAAAAAATTTTTTCATTGTTATTCAATCCCTCCCCCTCAGTCCACTCCACCTTTGTTCTGGAATCCTTTCATAACAATAATATCTAATGATATTATTTAAACTTTTAAACTGTACTCTCCCTCATCTGTTTCAATGCAGTATACATTATTTATCCCCTTTCTCAATTTCCCCCAACCGTATATTAATCCTCTTTTATAACAGTGACATTATGCCATATTTGTCTTTTTTGTGACTGGGATATTTCACTCAGCATAATGTCCTCCAGGGTAATAATTTTTTTTTTTTTATTCAGAGGTGAAGTTTTGTTTAAACCACATTAGATTTCTTAATACCATCAGTGGAACAATTCTTTTTGGGGGTGCATGTTTTTTGTTGTTTTTTGAATTTTTTTTTTATTTTAATGAACATTTACCGAGATTTTGGCTTTTCATTCATTCATTCATTGTTGCACTTTTCTCCCTGCCCACCCCTCAAGTCTTTACTATACTCCTGGCGTCTGTTTTCTTTATTAGTAATAATAAAGCAGAATACATAGAAATGGACAAATGTTTATCCTGTAAATGCTGTCCAGTGTTGGAGTAGGGTATAGAAAAGTGAGGCAGAAAAAAAAGGTTAAGATTTTTAAACATTGAAATCTTACATAGTCTGATATGTAGTTGAACTAAAGCATTTAATCTCCAGGAAATCTTAAGCTTTTAGTCCTAGATATGTTAATATCTGATAAGAATGTGAGTTGATAATTCAAAGCTTTAAGATTTGGCTTGTTTTTTTTTCTCATTGCTGAAAGTGTTATCTGTTCTTGTTCAGATTTATCTCCTTGAAATCTGTTGAGCAGATTTCCTTATTATATCTACCTCTGGAAGTGTCTATGGTTTGTGGACTCTGTACCTTGTGCAGATTGGAAAGATCCTTAACCACAAAGGAGGCTTGGAATATACCTTTCAGGAGCACCAAGCTCATGGTGCCTAGTTTTGAGCACTTGAACAAACTTCTGTCTCCTGAAGTAACATTACAGTAACAGGCAAAATGGTATTGTGATCTTTTATCCCAAAGTTTTTAATCTATCTCAGCCATTTGATTTTCTTTGCCTCTTGTATTGTTTCCATAGACACAGTTGTTGGTGGTTTTGTTTTTGGGGTTTTTTTGTTTGTTTTTTGAAGTTACAAGCTTTAGCTTGTCCTTGCTAGTGTGGACAGGCAACCATTTTTAAAGTATCTTCACTTTTCAGTACAGTTGCACTTTCACTGGTTCAATACACCAGCACTTTCACTGATCTCTTTGCTTTCGTACTACAGGGAGATAAGGTGGTTAATGATCTTTTTAAAACCACTAAAAATGAAACTGACACACAGTAGGCTGGAACTGATACTCTGTAGGCTGGAAACATTTTATGTCCTGCTAACAAAAGAGCATTTGCCTTGGAGGCCTGCAGTTTAGCTCCTCAGTCTCTTCAGTACTCAGAATTATAGGGTGAGTCAGGAGTAGCTTTTAAAATTGGTAGAAGTTTGCAAATAAGACTAATCAACTGTCCAGGAAACCTTTCTCAGGTCTTACTTTTGGGTAAATAGTAAAAGCTACTTCAATATTTTGTATTATTTTGAGATTGTAATAATTGCATCAGCGTCCCTGCATCCAGGAAAACCTGGTTTTATTTCCTCATATGATCAAGCTAGGAGGATGGAATTTTTTTTTAAATCTGTATATAGTTTTATTCTCTTTTCCATTTATGACTTTAAAAGCAGGTAAATATTTACAAGTTCTTTGTAATTATATCTGTATTACAGATTAAGAACTTGACACAATTTGTTTTCAGGTTCGTGTTTTCTCTGAGAGCATAAAGTGGTGGGAATCTTGGCTTTTAAGTAGATCAACTTCATGAAAAACCTATTTTATAGGAAAGGAAGATATCAAAATTGATACTAAAAGAATCTGTCTGAATTGACTACTTTGTAACTCTTGTAGGTTTGAATTACACTTTTGAGGATCAGGGCAAACAAGTCCCCAGTATACAGATAAAAAATCTATTATATATTATTTCTGTAATAGCTACTCGAAATAAAGTTGTGCACAATTTTTCTGGATTAAAAGTATAGGCCATGAATGATTAACTTTTTAAAAACTTAAAAAATTGTATATGTAATAGAAGTTTTAGTGTTTGTTACTGATTGAAAACATTTCGTTATTGGGTTAAATGATTTTTAACTTTTAGGCTGTGTGTATCTATGTGTGTGATCTGAGTGAAAATTTACAGAGCAGATTGGATTTTTGTTCAACCATTCTTTTAATTCGGTTTATATGCAGCCCTTACAACTTTCTTCCCTTCCTTCCCCTCCCCCCCAGTTTTAATTTTTACAATATTTCTTTGCTGTTCTTTTAAATTATTTAAGTCATTGGTGTTTATTTTAAGTCACTAGAGGCAATTTTGTCCTCCCTGAGAGGAGATCATTTGGCAATGCCTGGAGACATCTTGGGTTATCACTAACTCAGGGAAGGAGACAGGAAGATAAGATATAGTAGTGTCTTAGTACTGTTAAACATTCTTTCATGCATAGGATAATCCCTTGCAACAAAGAATTGTCAAACCCAAGATGTCAGTAGTGCAAAAATTGATAAACCATGTCATAGGTGGGATGTTCTCAGTAAGAGAACTTGCAGTTATTAGTTTTTATTGTAAATAGAATCATTATACCTTATCTGACAACCCATCTTGTCTCACATACTTTGAGCATGTTGTTAGGAGGGTCCTGGACAGCATGATTGGGAAGGTGGAAAGGCTCAGCAGAGGAGGTGAAGACCTCCAGCAAGATGACACAGTGACTGACTGGTTGACAGTGTGCATGTCAAGGACAAGATAGCGCAAGGTTCAGATCTGTTGTTCACAAGGTCACTATGAGTCATAGTTCACTCCAAGGCCCTTAGCAATAACAGCAACCACCTGTGTGTCATTTAATAATATATCGTTACTTCATCTATTGGTATACTAACTCATTAACAGGTAATGAGTATTACTAAAAAACATTTTATGGCAAAATAATCTGTAAAGCTGCAAGAGAAAGATAGTAGGAAAACAAATTATTTTTAAGACATCAAAGCTAATGTAACCCTTTGATGTCTATGATAATATATATGTTAAATTATGTAATACATGTAGAACTCTTAGAACATTTGTTATGATAAATATCACCTATATGAGATGGGGAGGAGGGAATAATAAACCCAGAATTGTTTCATGGCAGTCAGTGACCAAGATATGGTTTTATAGTAGGAGGCATTTGACATACAAATACTTGCTGTATTGGCCACTAAGCACTTTTAATAGGTTTTGTGATTTTTTTCATTACTGCATGGTGGGTTAAATGCTGTGAATTGCTTCCTTCTTTTGCAGAAGACACTTTAGTAGTGAGGTGCCTATCATTATGTACATTGTGCTTTTGCCTTTTTGTGATGTAAAGTGCACTTCATATGCTGTCTTTCACCAGAATCCCTCCATGTAAGGGTGTAAATGAGGAAACCCAAAAGGCTCTGGACCGTTCTCTTCTTGATTGCACTTTCCGATTACAAGGTAGAAATAACCGCACGTGGGTGGCAGAGTTAGTGTTTGCAAATTGTCCTCTTAATGGCACTTCTACCAGGGAGCAAGGTGAGATATTTCACAGCTTTGTCTTTGGATATTTCTGGATTTTTAAGTATTGATTATTATTAATCTTCCCTTTTAATCCTATAGGGCCATCCAGGCATGTTTATCTGACATATGAAAATCTGTTGTCTGAACCTGTTGGTGGTCGAAAAGTAGTTGAAATGTTCCTTAATGACTGGAATAGTATTGCACGATTATATGAGTGTGTGTTGGAATTTGCACATTCCTTACCAGGTATGTTTGGTAATCTTTATTTTAAATTGAAAAAAAAGAAAAAAGAAGGTAAAACATAGAAAAATAATTTTTCCCCACCAAACTCTAATGAAAAAGAAATCTCTCTTTCACCTTAGGCTTTCATCCTCTTATGTACTCATAATTTTTTTTTTTCAATTTGGTGATAGTATTTTTTTTTTAATTTAGGTTGTTTATTTTTCATTTCAATGAACATCTACAGAGATTTTGGGATTCCATTCATTCATTGTTGCACCCTTCTCCCCGCAAAAACCCCTCCCCCCTCCCTGTACTCAAAGTTTTTTACACCTCTGTAGATTATATTATAATAAAGTTAATACTTATTGAGAGTGTGTTTATATTAATTCATTTAATCCTCACAACCACCCCATAAGGTAGGTATTTAGTACTACTCATTTTCCAAATGAAGAAAGTCAAATGCTTAAAAAATTTAGCAAAACTTCACATAGCCAATGGAACCTCTTTACCACTATGCTGTACTGCTTCAGCATGTCTTGCCTACTCCCTGGCCCCTTTTGTAGAAATGGGAACACACATAAAAATGTGCTGTTTTTATTTTTTAAGAACTAAATTTATGTATTACATAAATATGTATACATTACTTAATAATATATTTTGGGAAATAATCTATTACATGATTAGGATATTAGACCATAATAGAACCTTACTGGACCTCGCTTCCAGTTTTCCTATTGCCACTGCTGCTGCTGTGAAATGATTGGCAATGGTGGTGGCTGAGGGGGTGGCAAGAGGAAGTGACTCAGCAAGAAGGGAGTGGAGCATGCCCAGCTTTGCTCACTGTTCCACTGGACTGAATAACCTGGCCCCATGGTCCCAGCCCCACCCCAGCAGCCAGTCTAACCACTGGATGCAGTCCAAGAGCCCTGTCCTCTGCCTCCCTTGCCTATATCTGACCTGTAGTCCAAGTGCTGCAAGAATCTACATTTACTTACTTACCATAACTACATCTAGAGAACATCATGTGAAGGGAAATTAATCCATCACAAAAGGACAAACATAATCTAAGACACTGTTATAAAAAGCTAAGGGAAGGTTTACACACAGCTAGAATCATTCTTAGTCTGTTATTGCAGATGACAAGGGAGGGAGAAGGGAGTAAAAATTAGTAAATACATAAAAGACATATATTAAGGTGGGTGAAAGGAAAGTCAGAATCTAATAAAGGAATAATTACAGTATTACTAAAGAAAGGAAGGTCACAGAGAGGTATAGAAGATTAAAATAACAGTAACAGGAAGTGAGAAAAGCAAAGTATATCATGGTTGTTGAAATTAGTATTTGTAAACAAAATGTGTATGACTGCTTGAATGAAAAAATGGCTTTGTAAACTATCACTCAGAATTTTTTTAAAAACCCAATCTTTTCAGTGGAGAAAAAAAATCTATTAACAAGAGAAAAAATTGAATCTAGGTTTATCATTAGAGTAAAATAATAAAAGGAGATTTGCTTTCTCCTTTAAACTATGGGATCACAGACTTTCATATAGTCAGACATTGGCAGAATCGACATAAAATATGTTTGTATTTAGAGAAGTATCTAGATATAGGTGTCCAAATGCCCTTTTTTCAGATGTATATTTTTAAATTTTGCACGCATAATCTTAATCTCTTCCTTGCTCCCTTTCTGTTTAGACATACCTGCTCATCTAAATATTTTCTCAGAAGTTCGTGTTTATAATTACAGAAAACTTATTTTGTGTTATGGATCCACCAAGGGAAGCTCAGTGAGTAATTGACTTATTGCAGCCTAAAACTAAGTCTCTGAATTAAAACCCTGAAAGTCCTTGTAAATTCTTAAAAAACAGAAAACAACGTGTGGGAGCTATTATTAATAGTTCAAATAAACTTACTATTCAGTAGTTCAAATAAAAATCTGGACAAAATGTTAAATAGTTTGTTGATTTAATATCTTCCCTTATCCACTAAAATGTAAAATAGAAACAATGCTCTTAATGATAGGATAGAGATATATATGATCTTGAAAGTTAAGACAAAGTAATGCATTATTTTTGGCATTTGTACTTTTTTCTTCACCGTTTTAAAATCTGCTTGGCAGCATGATTATTGTAAGGAAGAGTGTATACAGTTTTGTATGTATTTGCTTTTGGTAACATTATTGTTACCATTTTTCATCTTAACCTTAATAAGTATCCCATGTAATTTATAGCTTTCTTCACAACCCCCTCCCTCAAAATATATAAAGTGCTGGTGATTTAGTATAAAAATTCAACTCCCTGGGTTTTCATTGGATTCTTTCAGGTTAAATATCAGAAGTTACTTGAATGTTTAAAATCTATTGACCAAAGGTACTTGCATTAGAGATGGTGTTATGCACGTAATGAAGGTGCTCAGTGTGGATGGTACTGAGAGGATATTTCTTCAGTTTAAGAAAAAAATAAGAAATAGCAATGATAATTTTCAAAATAAAGTATCATTACACTTTTTTTCTTTAATCATGTCTCTTTTTAATTAAAAATGTATTATCTAGCACATGTATAATCAGTGCGTATACTGATCCACATTAACAGCATATCTGAAGCAGGGTCCACTTTTATTACTTGTCTCAATAAAATCCCTCATTTAGTTCTTAGGCCATTTGCTTAAGTACTTGAACTCCCCCCCCCCTTAATCTTTACTTTCTCAGTTTCTGAAACATAGCATTCTCTTTTATTTAGATTAGTATCCAGTGGAATTCCATACATCAGAAGTTTCACATTTCTTTGGGAACTGTTGGCCCAAACTCAGGTTGCAGTAACTGTCACAATACCATCCTCCATCAGCTTCAAGAAATGTTCAACAAAACACCAAACGTGGTTCAGTTATTACAGGTAAATTTTTTTTCTGTTTTTAATTAAGACTCAGTGCCAGTATCTTGTACAAAATTCCTCAAAAATTCATGTAGATTTAATAACTAGAGTTGATGCCTTTGTCTTGTGTATCTTGACTCTTTCTTTGATCCAAAGTAGACACAGTGGTGTAATTTGCACTGCCTCATTTATGCTGATACTTGAGTTTGTGGAATCTAGCCAGTCTCACTCTTTGTTCCTTATTATAGGTACTATTTGATACTCAGGCTCCATTAAATGCCATCAATAAGCTTCCCACTGTGCCAATGTTGGGCTTGACCCAGAGAACCAACACTGCGTATCAGTGCTTCTCCATTCTGCCGCAGTCATCCACCCACATCAGACTGGCCTTCAGGAACATGTATTGCATCGATATATACTGCCGGAGTCGAGGTGTTGTGGCAATACGGGATGGTGCCTATAGTCTTTTTGATAATAGCAAATTAGTTGAAGGTTTTTATCCTGCACCAGGACTAAAGGTAACAGATTAGATAGCATATTCAGCATGAATAAACATTAAAATGTTCTCCAAAGCAATGCCTTTGAGGGGGAAAGCAGCAGATTCTTGCCTAAACTGAACAAATTTAATGTCTGACCTCAAAGTGCTGATAAAGTAGGATTTTGACTGTATATGAGATGGTATAAGTCCTTTCCCTTCATTCCAAAAGGCTTGTTTAAAATAGTCCCCAGGACATTCTTGACATTTTCCTATTTCCAAGAGATCCTTGTTTCAACTTTTATAGCTGTTTCTCTTGGTATTTATATCTGTATCTCTAAATAGAGGGATCAGGGAGCTCTGATGGCATAGTTGGTAGGGAGTTGAGCTGTCAACTCAGAGGTGGATGGTTTGAATCCACCAGTGGCTCCAAAGGAGAAAAATGAGCAATCTCCTCTAGTGCAAATTACAGCCTCTGAAAACTCACTAGAGGGTCAAGCCATGAGTCAGTTTTGACTCACTGCATTGCATGAGGGAGTGGGTGAAATAGAGGGCTTATATTACTTAATTTTTTACTTTTCAATTGAGAACATTGTCTAATTGTCACAATGGAAGGTTAGATGTAATTCTTTTTACAAATTCTTTTCCCTCTTTAAAGCGTTTTCTAGTATATGAATATACTTTTCTTCCTATTCTTGCAAAATGGTAGTGGTGGTTGTTAGGTGCCATCAAGTCGAGTACAACTTACAGTCATCTTCAGAACAGCAGATAGGAATCCTGTCCTATCCTGTGCCATCTTCATCATCTCTGACACAGTTATTACTGCAGTCACGCTGTCGGCCTAACAAAGGTTAGATGTGTCTTAAGTATAGACACAAATGCAATTATAACCACAGGCATAGAAGTGAGGATTACAACACATGTTTTGGGGAGACATGACCTACTCTATAGTAGGTGATAATTTTGATAAGATAATTTTTTAGTGCTTGTATTATTATGATTATATAAACATTCCCTGAGCCATCCTGTCCATGACTGTATACTTCTTCATTTTTTTCCCCCAACAATTAATCCTTGAATTTTTTTTTCTGCTTAGTGTTAATTCTCTGTCACTAACTCTCTGTTAATAAACTCTGTCTCTCAGTTCTGTTTACTCAATCCAGTACATTTATACTCCCTGTCTTTTTTTAATTGGTATGCACATAATTATTTATATACATTGTGTTTCATTCATGTACATAGTGGATTTGGGGATTTGTGCATGTATCACACTTTCTTTCATTGACATTGTGTTTCATAAAATCATTCCCATACATTGTGTTTTATAAAATGTCTGTCTTGGTTTACCCACCTTGGTAGAGTATCTTCTACAACAGCTTTTTCAGAGAGGGAGTTTGAGACCTTGCTTGTCTGCAAACATCCTTTAATTTACTCTTATCTAAATTGAGAGAGTAGGTAGGCTAAGTTGACAGTTATTTCTGTAAGAATTTTAAAGGCATTTACTTCATTGTCTTCCTGCTTCATTCCTTTATAAAAGCTGCGATGCTTTATTGTTGCAGTTCTGACACCTTTGTTTAAAAACCTGTTGTTTCTTTAAGGAAGTTTCAATGGTCTTTATTTTTTTTTTAAAGTTTTTATTTTATATTGGTTTTCTTACAAAATTTGTATACATTATGTTTCACCCTCTTATTTATTCACAATGTGTTTCAGAGAATCATTCCCATGTTTTATAACCATTGGACTATGCCCACCATCACTCTGTCTTTTCATGTCCCCACTGGATCCTTCCCATTTCCTCCCCCACTCTTCCACCCACCAAATTGTGCAACCTTGTGATTTTGCCCCTACCCATCGTCACCCCTCTGTTCCCACCTATTCCCTTCTTGGGTCCTCATAAAAGTTATACTAATTATCCTTCTATTTTTATAATAATGGTCTTATGGGGTATTTGTCTTTATGAGACTGCTAGTTCATTCAGCATAGTACTCTGCAGTCTCTCCCAAGTTATGTATTATTTTTCAAAATCATTGCTCCAGAGTACATAGTATTCCATTGTGTGAATGTACCACAGTTTCTTAATTGTGTTCCACTACTAGGATCTACTACTAAGTTCCACTATAGGAATATACCCCAAGGAAATTAGAACTGAGGCACAAATGGAGATTTGTACACCACTGTTCATTGCAGCGTTATTCATCATTGCAAAAACATGGAAACAGCCCAGATGTCCAACCACAGCCTTTCTTTTGTCCTTATTATCCTGAAACTTCAAATTTATAATTTAATTCCTTTTTATATATGTGACTGAATAGGTTCTTTCAATTTGGAAATTCAGATCAGTAATTCAGTTACCACTTAGCTGTCTGCTTTCTTCCTGTTGTTTTTATATTTGTGACCTAATACTTTTCCTCCTATAGTTTTAGTAAATTGGTTGAAGGGAGAAAATGAAATATGTGTGTTATGAATCCATCATCTTTACTTGGATATCAGAATGTGGACTTTTAAAAGCTTTTTAAAAAGCTTTCTAGTAATTCTGATACGTTTATGGTCTGTATTTTTAGAGGTATTTCTACATTAAAAGAAAGAGAATCTGTGCTAGAGATACAGATTCTAATAGCCAGGCTTAATTTTTTTTTTTCTTTTCTTGTTGTGTACCATCAAATTGGATCCGACTGGCACAGGAGGAGATTGTGCCTTCTCCAGAGTTTCTGGTGGATTTGAACCACACACCTTTCGGATTGCAGAGTAGCTTCTTACCACTAGGCCACCAGAGCTAATGACCTCCTATAAAAGAAAAGCTGTCTCAGCTGTTTAAGAAAAAAAGAATACAGTTGACCTTAATCTTTTTATTCAATTTTCCTCTGCCATATTTTCTAGCTTAAAAAAGTAAGAATTCTGACTGAATGAGAATTTTCCCAAGAAGCGTTTGAAGTTAGTTACAATGTGGACATACAACTTTTACTTGTCCCCACATTTCTGAGTCAGAAGTTGATAAGAAAATATTTTTTTCCTTCA